GGGGTTCTCGCGAATAAAGTTTCGCCAGTAGCCGGGTACCGTATCCCAGTCAGCGACAAGCATATCAAGATGACCAGCACGGGCCATTGCACCAACCTCGAGGTAATTGCATCAGAAGCAACAAACCCTAGCTAGCTAGCTATAGCTGCAGCCTAAGCTCGAAATTGTGTGGCAAAATCATCGGCCAGTCTCGCCAGACAACATTGTTTTCATTATCCAGCATCGGCAGAGAAACATTTGAAACCTCGCATCTCAAAGCCAGCCCCTGCTTAGCAGCTCGCTGATGAAGTCCTTGCTCCCTGCTCCTGAGGTTCGACACACCGACCGCAAACATCACACGTGCACATGGAGGTGCTCGGGTGGGACTATAAGAGTAAGTCTAAGTTTAAGCCACGCATCGACGTCAGCAGGTTGCTGTCCAGTGGCCTTGCAATCTCTGCAGCATGCTTGACTGATGAATAGCCACGGCCAATGGTTTTCGCCAGCCTCANNCTTCGGCTGTAGATTATCACCATGGTGCAGAACACGATAAGCATCAAAAAATCATTGCCCATAGAATCCTATGAGAGCCGAGTGACACCCGATCCAGTTCATCTCGTAGGATAGAAGTCGTCGAACCTGCGTGGGTTTAAAGTGGGTTCAGCCTAACTGTGCAGCTAGCGGTGCAAAGTGCCAATGCAATGCCCAATCTTCCAGTCTTTTTGTCACGATCTTGTTGCGGCATCGAGCACACGGCACACTGGGCTTGTAGCCAGCGTGGTCAGATCGTAGCATCCAGGGGAGTGCTAAGGCACATATCCAGGTACCATCACCCCAGCTTCAAAAGCACAGACGATTTCATCATCTAGGGCACCGGCTATCCTCCACAACAAAGTCGTTTAAGGGCCGAGGGGCTATTATCATTTGTTGGGTCGAGCTATTATTAGACTATAACCAGCTAGTATAGTATATGTAACCTTCGATGTAGAGGTGGGGTGCCCTAGCCCCCAGAGTCCTCCCACACAGGACTGCTTCAACTCTTCGCCTGCGACTCAGCAGCCTTGCGCTGGAGCTCAGCCGCCACAGCACGAACCTGTGCTCGCGTCATCCGGGTGTTTTCAACCTGAGTGGATAGGAGGGTTTCGGGTTTGGTCTGGGAGGTAGTACATACTGTTCAGATTGCAATTTAGCAGCCATTGCTTTGCATTCCTCGAGGAACTCCTCGGCATCATCATCGTCCACTTCTTTCAACCTCAGATGGGATCCATTAACTTTAATTATAAACCTAGATATGAAACCGATGCTTGCGTGGATTAGGGTTGGGTATTTAGGTATTTAGGCAGGTAGCGTATCCATTTGGTTTTCCAGGTCGCCCTTATGCTTTTCCATTTGCACCCGCAACTCGTGGTCCTTGGGCAGGTCGTAGCAGATGTTGGCCGCATTGTACTCCTTCTTCAGCTCTTTGCCTTAGTTCGGAAAAGATTCATTGATTTTGTAGTTAACATTAGGGGGTTTTGAGATTATATGACGATCCGAGACACGGCAATCCTCCAAGAGTTCTTTCGTTGTCTTGGGCGCTTGGAGCAGGGCTTTTCCTTTGGATTTAGCCTTGCTTTTCGGGGCCTTCTTCGGCAAGGCGGCGGTTTCGCCTCGGTGCAGATAGATCAGGTGATCAGCCCAACACAAAAGCCGGCATGCAGTTGGAACCTCAACCTGAAAAGCCACTTAATGCTGACTCGGTGCCCGAAGCAAAAGCATTCGCAGCATACTGCAAAACTGCATCGGTGGTGCCCGAGGCCGCAGCGACCACTGGAACCGGGGCTCCGGTCAGATGCATCAAAGGGGCCACGGCCTTAGCATTGGCCTTGATGTTCGCTTTCACTTGTCCGACCTGGGAAATCTTCTCGGACTCGTCCACGTCCTTCTTCTTCCGGCATAGGTAAACGATGGATTCGAGGCAGTGAGGGGCATCGGGATCAGGGGTTCCACCCTTTCTGACGATGTTCTCGATCTTTGTCCTTAGATGAGGAGTATAACACTGTGTTTCTGGCTGTGGGTGGCTGTCGACTAATGCATACAGGGTGCGCACTGAAACCTTTTTTCACCATTTCCTTCACGGTGAGCTCCTCATAGCCGCTCTTGATCTCTGCCGACTTCGACTTTGTAATGATCAGCTGGGCCTCGGTGTTGCCCATGTCCATCTCCTTCTCCAGCCACTTTGCAAACACTGCATGTTGTTCCTTGGCTAGGATGCACATATGATATGTATGGGTGATGTGTAG